CTTTCATAGAATGAGACATCCCTATCTTGAGCATCAATCTGAAGTGAGATTCTCAGCCCTAGCAATACTGTTTGCACTTCGACTATGGTCTTTAAAGCACTTAGCATCTGATCCTAAATTCCATTTTTAAATATACTAAGAAACAGATTTCATTAAAAATCTCAAACTTTTGGATTATTTAAAAAAAGATCATACTCAAATATATTCCCTTATGAGCTGCTTTTCTTGGATATAAAAAATGATCATTCATCTTAAATAGTAACACAGTGCCCTGCAATGCTAAGCATGGTAGAATGGCTCTCCAACAAAGTTAAGCTTTCAAATTTTAATCTCTCTTTAAGCCACATCCTGTTTTCAGTTAACTGATCTCATATGGGGGAAATTTACCAGAGGAAATATCTCTAGTTTGGAAAGTACCAAAAACTTATCTTTAGTTTCTTTGTGTAATTCAGCACCTTTTAAGACAGAGGTGTAATACTTTCAAGAAGTCTCAAAGCCAAAGAAAAGGAGCAAGCTAACAGCACAGAAAGGAGGCATATAGGTGCCCCTTCATCCCGAAACAGAAACTGACCCATTGGTGTAACACTGATCTTTCTGTAATTATTAACTTACACCTTTTTATATTCCGAAAGCTTAAAAAGCCACATCCAGAAATATTTTAAAAACTTTTTCAGAAACTAACTCTCATCCCGGCAGAAACTGCCTGTGCCAGATTAACTTGCCATGACTTTTTATGACCCTAATCATAAAACAGTGAAAGCAAATTTTTCAGGCCTGAGACTGTATCACGCTTTCCCCATAGACTTCTATCTTTAGTTAATACATGGCCCTGCTGACTCTGCACTTAGAGCATCTACAAATACGTTTACAGCACAGAGAAGTAGAGAGAAGGAAGTGGAAATGAAGAGACATTCCATGTGATTCTGCAAGTGTTAGTAGGGAAAGTCTTCTCATTCACAGAGGTGGGTGTTGGCATTTAAACTGGAAGCTTTAAAAATAAAATAACTGACATCCTTTTGCTCTTCCATAATTTCATCCCCAAATCTTATTAACATCCTGGCTCTTAAAACAGGTTACACATGCAGGTATACGATCAGGTAATTGCATGCCCATGTTGCTTAAATTAGTCATTTTCTTGTGCTGTGACAGCATTACTGAACTGCATATGATGCTTTTCATCTGGTGAGATCTAAGTGTTTCACAAAAAGAAGCAAATGTTACTGCCTCGGTACAGAGGGAGGTGGAAGCATTTACTAGGCTAGTGGTTTATCCAACAACACTCCAGTGATGTATGGCAGGAAGCCAGATGGATACCTTCAACTGACTCTGTGACTGGCTCCATCAGACTGATGTTTAATTCCCTCTATAACAACAATTCCCTTTGCATCATTATTTTTAAACTGTTAAAGCCTTCAAAAACAAAATACCACTTGTCGAAAGGTTGTCTAATTGAAGGGAAAGTAACAGATTTTCTGACAAAGTAAAGGATCAAAGCCTCCTTTTGGAAACAGTCTTGCATCCTGATTCCTGTGGGACTACAGGGTGGAACTGAAAACAGCATTTGGCCCATAGGTGAATTTTTAATAAGTTAAAGAAATGGTGGACATAAACACAGGAAGCATTTTGGATAAACTGCTTGCAAGAATGGGACCTTTATTATTAAAAATCCTTGCCACCAGAAGATGCTCATTATTTATCTCCAAGGCCCATGACTGAACTAGGGTACAGAAAAGCCACCGCCACGCAGAGTGGGGGAATTGTGTTTTGGCACAGACAGCAGAGCCTGAAAGGGTAGTGAAAACCCAGCAGCTCTCTGCCTTCAAGAGACCAGGTACATTCTTACGGCATTCTGAGGATATCTTTAATACTTCCTGTTATTTTCAATTTACCGCAATGATGATTGAAAGTTGCAATCTCGATTATTTTGTATAAACATTTTTCATCCTGTTTTTTTCTAATATTATGGGTTTCTTTAGCCTCTATTCTGCACACAGTGCCAGGCTTGGTACTTACAATATCCTCACAGTACTGTATACTTGCAAGATTAATTTTTCCTGTGTGTACACAGACTTCCAGTATATTGGCTCTATAAAGGATAAATATATATTCTACCCTTGGACCTGGCTATCTTTTAAGAGGTTTTTTTCCTTAGATGTATTCGGTTTTAAACTAAGCTGCCCTTTTGAAAGCTAGAAAAATGTTTTGTTTATTCTCGCTTTGACATTATCCTTTTGAGACAAAAAAGTAGAAATTTAGTGGAATTCAGTAAACACAGTATGTGTGTAGCAGGAATGCATGAAAAAGAATAATGTTGTTCTATCATACAGGCAAACAAGGGCTGAGTCAAACCACTGTGTGAGCAGAGTTTATGGATATTCTTTGCCTCTTCATGTAAACATCAACACAGCTGTTGATAACAATGTGAGGAGGAAATAGTTCCAGGATTAATTCCAATATTTCTCTTAGCAATGCAACAAAGCACTACAGCATATACTTCACTTACCTGAAGAAGGGCTGTGTTTTGACCCCAGAAGCTGCCCTCCTTCCATCTATTTTTAAGCATAGCTATAGTCTGTTTGCTAGCGTGTCTGTAATCATGTCAGCTGTCACCCAGGGCAGCTGTTCCAGACGTGGAACTATATATTGTCTGTGCACACACAACAGAGGAAGGTGTCAGACTTCAGGCACACGCTCACTGATGAATAAGGTACCTGGATGCAAACGCTGCTGTAAATGCAGCAAGAGTTACAAACCAAGTGAAGCAGCTAGAGAACCCCCTCTGATTTTTGTTTTTAATTTTCAGCTAGGACTCACCCCCAGTGGTATTCCCCGGGTTTCTTTCACAAGGAAGGGCTCGCAGATTTGCATCTGCAACTTTCTCTTCTGACCAAATCCCTATCGCAGCATGTGATTTCATAGTCAACTTTGTCAGGGGAGAAGAGGACTTTCTGATAGTGAAACTTTCCTTTGTAGAAACCTTTCCTGCGCTGCGAGCATCTGAAAAGGATTTGCATACATTACTTAACTTGCCTTGTGTTAGCCTGGTGTTTTAAATATTATCAGCATTTCAGAGCGCCTGCAGGGTGAGGCATAGCGAGGTTGGCTGGAGGTTTCCCAGCGAGGTTCAGAAGGAAATCCAAGTCTCCTGCTCCCCTCCTCGGGGCGGCAGGGTTCTCCCGAGCCGACAGAGGTCTGGCAAGGGCATTTTTCACTGTCATCCTGCTCTGGGTAGGCAGCAGCTTCTGCCCGATTTAGGGGGCCGGGTCGCCGCGCCAGACACCCACAGTCACGGCAGTTTCAGGAACCAGCTACGCGCACAGATTCTCCATTTCAGCCGTCCTGGGGAATCGCCCCCCCCGGGCCTTTCCTTAGTCCCTTCCCCATCCCCGTGGGTCGGTGCCGGTCAGCCTTGCCGGGGGGGGAGGCTGGGAGAGCCCCGCCGTGCCCCGGGGAGCCGGGCCGCGCTCCCTCCGCCCGGGGCAGACCCGCTTCTCCCCGGCCGCCCCGCCGCCTTTCGCGTTTCCCGCTCCTCCCGGCCTCAGCGAGGCAGCAGTCGCCGAAACTTTCAGCGGAGCCGCCCGGCTGCGTT